CATCGTGACTGTTTTGAGGGGTGTCGTGTGTCAGCGTGTCTCACCAGTCCATGCCTGTCCTCGCTGACTGGTGGGGGGTCCGCTTCCCCGTCAGCGAGCACGTGGGCTGTTACCCGTCTGGGACTGTTACGGAGCCGCAGCGAACGTCAGCGCGCGAGTCTGTGTGACACACGCCCCGCCCCTGGGGCAAGGACCCGGCGCCAGGACCGCTGGGTCGGGTGGCGAAGGTGCGTCCGCCGCGCCGAGCGCTCGCTAGCGAGCACGTGGGCTGTTACCCGTCTGGGACTCTTACGGAGCCACAGCGAACGTCAGTGCGCGAGAGTCTGTGTGACAGACGCCCCGCCCCTGGGGCAAGGACCCGGTGCCAGGACCGCTGGGTCGGGTGGCGAAGGTGCATCCGCCGCGCCCAGCGCTTGCTGGACTGCTTTCCGGGGGGCAGAGCGTGGGCCTTTGGGCGCCCACACTCCCGTTTCGGCCGCCTGTGGCTGTCGTTCGCGTCTCCTGAACGGCTGGTGATCGCTCCGCGCTGTGCCCGCCGTCCTGTTCCCTCCAGCTGGGCCTTTCTGTTGGCGTCGTCAAGTCGCTCTCCTTAGCGGCTGTGTCCCGTCTGTTTCTTTTGCGTTTCTTTTGCTAATTCACATTCGAATGCGTTAGGATCAGGGTCACGTGGGAGCGAGGGGACGCTCTGACGCAGCAGTGGCTTACTGGAGGACGGAAGTGCCTTGGCTCCCGAGTCGGAGTCTGGAGGTGGCAGTGACCCAGACGCCCTCGCTTTCCTGCACTCCGGGACTGCTGTGCCCCAGGGCCCCTCGCGGGCCAGGACGGCTGTCCCGGTTCCAGCCATCAGGACTGCGTTCCAGCCGGAAGGAAGGGGCAAGGGGCCGTAGGAGAAGGACACGCTCCTTCTCTCTAGGCTCTTGGTCGGCTGTTGTGCACACGACTCCACTTAGATTATATCAGCCAGATCTTTGTCGCTAAGGGGACCGTGTACTGAAATCTTCATCCCAGGCATCAGTTTGTTTGGCTCACAGTCAGGGCTCCCGTTAACAGAGACTAACACTCGCCCGGTTTGCGCTCTGCCTGGCCGGCTCAGAGTGATGCTTACAGGGCACCCCCTGCGTGGAGGAGGCCGCTGCCCCGTGGGGCCGAGGGTGTCTGCAGCTCGCACGTCCACCGCGTGGGGCTGCGCTCGGCGGCCGGAAGCTTTGCTGTAAGCAGAGAGATCAAAAACGGGGCGACCCAGTTTCTCCCACTAGTGCCTCTCTAGGAAGTCGTTCACTTCATTCACGTTTCACAAAGTTATGGCACAAAGATGTTTGAAGTATATTTTTATGATATAAAAAGTTTCTATAAGTACAGTTTGCCTTTCCTTCCAGAAATGTCTTCTTTTTCTTGATGAGACTTAAAAATCTATTGAAATAGATTCTTCTAGCAAAGAATCAACTTTTGATTTTGTAGGTATTCACTTTTGTTTTCATTTTGTCGATTTTTACTCTTCGATTTTCCTTTTAATTTTTTTAGATGTTTTTGTAGCCTCTTGTGTAAAACACTTAGCTCATTTATTTTTAGTCGTCATCTTTTTTTTTTTTTAGTCAAGGCAACCCTTGGTTGACCTCACAGATTGCAAGGACCTTGTCAGCTTACAATCCCTTATTTTTTATGCCTACAGCACCTGGTCTTCCTAGGTGGTCTCCCATCCAAGTACTAACCAGGCCCAACCTTGCTTGGCTTCTGAGATCAGACGGGATCGGGCTTGTTCAGGGCGGCATGGCCGTAGACCATCATTTAAAAATTAATATATTTAATACAACACATTTGTCTTTAAGCATGCTTTATTCTTGAATTTTAAATTCCTTGAGCAATAAATTAATATTAAATATTAAAATTTTTTGAATTTTAATATGAAGTACTTTGTTATTTTTTAAACATGTGGGCTATTTAGGAGTCTGTTCTTTAGCTTTCAAACATAAAGCTTTTTAAAAAATTCTCTTATCGACAACATCTAATATAATTGCATGTTCACGGAATAAAGTCTGTGTGATACTGAGTTTTTGGAATCGAGCCTTTCTTCGTGGCCTCGTTTGTGGTCCGTGTGTGCGAATGCTTCCGAGCTCTTCCAGAGCATTTCTGCTTTCTGGTCTTCAGGGTTCCCCGCTGTCTTCACGGGGAGGCGGTCGTAAGACCGTGTACTCCAGCCTGTGGGCCGCGCCTGTCTGTCATCGTTATTGATCTGTACATATTAATCATGGTATTAGTTGCTTATCTTCTAACTCAATTAAAATTCCAGATAGATGTTTCCTCCGCTTCTCACGTGAGTCGCAGTGCACCCTGAGTCTGAGCACGTCTTCGTGTTTCTTTTTAGAGGGAGCGTTTTTTTTCCAGTGCTAAGGAAATACATATTTGTAATCTGGGCATCTCTCCAGCCTGTCTTTGAAGTTGCATTGGAAGAAAACCATTTCTCATTGTATTAATGGACTTGAATAATACGTTATGGAATAAATATGTGAATCCAACTGCTTGGAGCATTTTTTTCATTATCCTGACTGACTTGCTCTCCTTTCAAGAGGAAATATTAAACTTTGCTAATAGTAAGATATTAGTTCATGCCAACATTTTTCCTTCAGACTTATGAAGTTTTTGAAAAACAACCAGAAAAGCGGTTTCAATAGTATTTCTCATGCTTTAAAAGTACTTGCTTTTGACCTTCGTAAATGAAGATGCTTTAGAGAAATAGCCGTTTCACAGTGGCGCCTCCCTGTAGTGCCGCGTAAAGCTCTCTCTCTCGGTCGTTCAGCTTCCTTTCCACTATTCCAGTGTTATTTCATGTTACACCCGTTCTGATTGAATATAAATGTCAGATGCTTGCTGTTCACAATCTTTGGTTTGAAATAGACTCAGTGTTTCTCTTCGGAGATTTCTCTCGCCAGTGTTTGTGGTTTTACTCTCTTCGCCTCCTCGGCCAGGCGCACGGTGCGTCCGCCGGGGTGCTGGTGGTCATTCTCTTCAGATGACAGGCCGAGTGTGTGCCGGATTTGACCTGCATATGTGTATTTTACTGCAGCGGTCCCCAGCCTTCTTGGCACCAGGGACCGGGGCTCCCATGAGAACCTAATGCCCGACGAGCTGAGGCGGAGCTGAGGCGGTGATGCTCGCGCTGGGGGCGGCTGCAAGTAACAGATGGAGCCTCTCTCACCCGCCACCCACCGCTCACCTCCTGCTGAGCGGCCTGGTTCCTAACAGGCCACGGACCTGGGGGTTGGGGACCCCTGTTGTTTACTGCCCTTCTCCAGAAAGCTATAATGAGGGCCGAGTGTAGCAGCCAGTGTCCGCAGAGATTATGGGTGACTATTTTAAAGAAGCATCAATCTGGGAATATGAGAACCTGTTATATGTTGAAATGCCTCTTGATGGATAAAACGGACTTATCACAAACGTGTTATATTTTAATCGTAATAATTAGTTTACGTTACATAGCTAAACTTACATGATAGTCAGGGATTTCGCTCAGACACTCTCTTTTACTTTGTTGATTTAAATAGATCTTTAAATTGTTTCTTATTTTGGTAGCTAGGTGGTGCAATTTCAACACAAATACTTTAACCCCGTTAGAAAAATGCCATTCAAAATTCCTCCTTAACTGAAATTCTCCACCTGATAAACGTACTTTTAGTTTGGATGCTTGTGGCCCTGGTGTATTGGGGGTTCTTTTGCTAGGAATGTTGTTTGCATTGAAATCGCTGTGAGAGAAATAAATGGGGTGCATGCCGCAGCGTTGCTTCGCTGGC